GTACATCTGGTCTTCTTCATCGTGTCCTTCCGTCACATCACTCGCAGCATCCTCTTCCTGTGTTTGGTCGTCTCCTTGGTAACTGTATCCCTCATGGCCGCCCCCCTCTCCATACGTTCCATAGCCATCACTAGGTTGTTGCTGGTACACATTGTTCTGGTACATGTTGGCCATGGTAGATAAAGGGCTAGCTGGTTTTTCTAGTAAATTATGATTTTTTTTGTTTGCTTGTTTAACTGGACTGATTGGCTAAGAGATAAATGACCTTTTACGTTAGCATGATTAGAACAAGCCCATTAGCCAGAAATTAGCATTACTAGCATCAACTATGACAATAATTTATGGAAATGCCAATTTGTTGAGTTGCTTAAAACATGTCGTTATGGTTTTAGTTTAGTCGAAGATCAGTCCGGGGTCTAGAAGTTTCTAATCTGTAATAAGAGAGAGAGAAGAAGAAAAAGGTGTTGTTGTTGTTGATCTGCAGCCAGGATTATATAATCTGACTTGATCTGCAGCCAGGATTATATAATCTGACCTGGGATTTAATCAGGATTAAAAAAAAATTCACAAACAAAAAGTCACAAGACATCATCACGGCCAATAAACACAAATGTTAATCAAATAAAATATTAATCAAAAATTAAGCCAAACGGGACAGAAGCGAGAAGCCGACACTGTGGCCAACATGCCACCAGGCGGCGCTCGTCCAGCCAATGTAGGGCAGCCCCCGTGGCGACGCTCCCACAGGCAGCTGCAACTCAACACCCGGTGTGGAGGGCTCCCCAAGAGGAGAGGAAAACACTGGACAACTATAATGTTGTATGACAATACCACCAGTAGGGGGCAGTACAGTGCGCATAAAATAAAGGGCACAGCTAAATATAACAATAACATCCAAAAGGAAACTCTGGTCAAGAGTGAAACAGCTGAGCAATAACACTCAAACGGCTCAGTGATGTGGACTGACACCTACAGGGGGCGCCGTCAGAACGTACATGGTCATTTCAACGTCCAGTGTTTGCAGAGGAACAGATGCTCAGACAAGGAAGAGGCTGAAGAGCAGAAATAAATTATTCACCAGCGTCAGTTCTACAGCAGGAAGTAGGCTGGTGCACAGACACGTGCACACGGCCGAGGGCGTGCACGTACACACACACACACACACACACACAGTTAGAGCAGCAGTGTCTGCAGTGTTACAGCTGCTGCATTCAAAGAACCACAACATCTATTCTTCACATTTACAACAAGAGGAAAAACACAGGGGGGGGGGTTTATTTTCTCAGTCAAATGTCAAAGGTTTCATTTTTGAAAAAAATAATTTAACGGAGGGCTTCATCAAAATTGACACTGAGGATGCTGCTGCTGCTGCTGCTGCTGCAGGGGTTGACCGTGTAGCTAAATAAGTCTGTGTCATATTTAGGCTTTGTCTGAGTGTTAGCGCCCCCCTGGGATGAGGCACAGAAGGTACAACATTAACAAGGCAAAAAAAAACAACTGACGACAGAAACTTAACATCTGTTCACATCGTTATCTCACTGTCAAACAGACGTCAGCGACGCAAAACGTCCGGCTGTGAATCACTCACTCTGCCACACCAAACCTCACAGAGAAAATCAGTGATTTTAGTTCTGACCAAAGTCCATACAGAAAATCAGTGATTTTAGTTCAGAGAGACACAGCAGCTGCTGATCCTCTGCTGCCTCCTGTGGTCAGTTTGTGTCACTGATGTCAATCTGAACAAAAGACCTCAAAGAGTGAAGTCACAGAAAAACACATTTGAAGTGAGTGATGGAGCAGCAGTGGATTAACAACTGCTGAGACTGTGAGCTAAAATCACTGGTTTTCTCTATGAGGTTTGGTCTGTGTGAGAGAGAGTGAGTGGTTCTGTAATCCTGATCACGGCTTTGAACGACGAAAACACAAAAAGATTTGTAACATGAGAAGTGGTTTGGTGGGTGTGTGTGTGTGGGGGTGTGTGTGTGTGTGCTCTGTAACCTGTCACTGTGTGTTCAGCTGCTGAAGTGTTGACTCAGCTCAGAGTTGATGAAACAACAGTTTAAACCAAACTTTTAGCAGATATTAATAAAAAAACCAAACAAATATTATTGTTGAGAACATCATCTCCACTGAACCCTCGGTCCGACTCCGACTTCAACTCTGTTCCTGTCTCTCGTGACGACTCGGTACCAAACAGTGACTCAGTTCAGAGAGTTAGTTTTTCTTACCTGCAGCTGAAGGTTCTGACCGTTCTGGAGGTTCTGGAGGAGCTTCATCCAAAAACTGACTGATGGAGAACAGCATCAACACTGAGGGATTAAAGGCGGAGGAAGGGGAGGAGGAGGAGGAGGAGGCTGCTGCCCCGCCCGCTGCATCACCCCTCCTCCCCTCCTCCTCCCTTCTCTCTCAGCACTGACACAGTGGTCGAGCCGAGTCTCTGCTGCAGAACAGGAAGATCCCACAGATCTGAGAGGAGGAGGAGGAGGAGAGAGAGGAGCAGATGGAGAGAGAGAGGGAGGGAGGGCAGCGGGGGGGAGGATGGATGGATGATGGATGGATGAAAGAAGAGTGATGTGAGAACAGATGCAGTGACTTTAATGTTTTTACACCATCGTAAAAAGGAGTAAAAAAATAAAAAATAAAATAAAATAATTTAATAGAAGTGAATTGGAGTGGGTTTACATTATTAATAATAACAATATTCACTACTGACATTTGATAAATGTGAGTGTATTGAACTTGTTAAGTGTAACAAGTGACCACAGGGGGCAGCAGTGGACTTCCGTTTCCTGTTTGATATATGAGGCTTTGAGTTTTTCTGCTTGGATCAGCACTTTGGTCTTCGGCCCTTGAAGACTGGACCAGACCCAGATGGTTCGGGACCAGACCCAGATGGTTCGGGACCAGACCCAGATGGTTCGGGACCAGACCCAGATGGTTCGGGACCAGACCCAGATGGTTCGGGACCAGACCCAGATGGTTCGGGACCAGACCCAGATGGTTCGGGACCAGACCCAGATGGTTCGGGACCAGACCCAGATGGTTCGGGACCAGACCCAGATGGTTCGGGACCAGACCCAGATGGTTCGGGACCAGACCCAGATGGTTCGGGACCAGACCCAGATGGTTCGGGACCAGACCCAGATGGTTCGGGACCAGACCCAGATGGTTCGGGACCAGACCCAGATGGTTCGGGACCAGACCCAGATGGTTCGGGACCAGACCCAGATGGTTCGGGACCAGACCCAGATGGTTCGGGACCAGACCCAGATGGTTCGGGACCAGACCCAGATGGTTCGGGACCAGACCCAGATGGTTCGGGACCAGACCCAGATGGTTCGGGACCAGACCCAGATGGTTCGGGACCAGACCCAGATGGTTCGGGACCAGACCCAGATGGTTCGGGACCAGACCCAGATGGTTCGGGACCAGACCCAGATGGTTCGGGACCAGACCCAGATGGTTCGGGACCAGACCCAGATGGTTCGGGACCAGACCCAGATGGTTCGGGACCAGACCCAGATGGTTCGGGACCAGACCCAGATGGTTCGGGACCAGACCCAGATGGTTCGGGACCAGACCCAGATGGTTCGGGACCAGACCCAGATGGTTCGGGACCAGACCCAGATGGTTCGGGACCAGACCCAGATGGTTCGGGACCAGACCCAGATGGTTCGGGACCAGACCCAGATGGTTCGGGACCAGACCCAGATGGTTCGGGACCAGACCCAGATGGTTCGGGACCAGACCCAGATGGTTCGGGACCAGACCCAGATGGTTCGGGACCAGACCCAGATGGTTCGGGACCAGACCCAGATGGTTCGGGACCAGACCCAGATGGTTCGGGACCAGACCCAGATGGTTCGGGACCAGACCCAGATGGTTCGGGACCAGACCCAGATGGTTCGGGACCAGACCCAGATGGTTCGGGACCAGACCCAGATGGTTCGGGACCAGACCCAGATGGTTCGGGACCAGACCCAGATGGTTCGGGACCAGACCCAGATGGTTCGGGACCAGACCCAGATGGTTCGGGACCAGACCCAGATGGTTCGGGACCAGACCCAGATGGTTCGGGACCAGACCCAGATGGTTCGGGACCAGACCCAGATGGTTCGGGACCAGACCCAGATGGTTCTGACAGATTTGGCCGAGTGTCCCATTTTTAATGTAATGAAATCATTTAATTCTGAGCAGATGGTTCGCAAAACCTGACTCTTAAAAAAACCTGAAATTAATTAAAATGACTCTGGCTTTAAACCTAGACTGCAGAGCTCCCCCTGTTGACCGTCTGCCATATCATGACTCACCGATACAAAAAATGTAAAAAAAAAAGTAAAAAAAAAAAACTTTAAGAGTTATGTTGCTTCACTGTTGTCACAGTTATTCAACTGTGGGAAATGTTGAACTATTTTCTCTGTTTTTGGCTACCTTTAACCATCGCACTCTTT